ACGACCGAGCGGGCCATGTTCAAACCAGCCAATGGCTGATAGGTGGCTTTCTACAAGTGATTTTTGAGCGTCTTCCGTCATTCGTCGAGAGAAGAGAAAGCAATTGTCAGTTTATTTTGGTCCTTTATTGTGAATTTAGACCGCGAGCTGCGCTATAACATTTGGCTCACGTGTTCTTAGAAGCCTTTACTACCGATCGGCATCGTTTTCTGACCACTGCTCAAAAAGTGTTGCCGGTCCCCTTTAGGAATGTTCTGCAGAAGGACTTGTTCCTGGGCTAGTTGGTGCTGGATCAAATTCATAATGTAGCGCAAAAAACGACATGACGGACACAAAGGGCAGCACACCACAGGGGCTACTAAACAACTTTAATGGAAAAATTGGAAGACACACATAATATATCTTCCAACCACGCAGGGCCGCAGGATGCATCCGGCAGACTACAGGGGGCGATAGGCAAAGATTACAAATGAACAGTACGGTTGAAAAAACATATGTTCTGAGGCAAACAAGACAGCAGATGTCTGACTAATGCAATCACTGCCATATTCGCTGATAGAGAAAGCTTCCGAAAGTAACAAACCGGTGAGAACGATTCTAAGTGGGTGTGTCACGTGGCAACTTCATGTAAGCAGGTTCTTGTTAAAAGGTTTGAAGCAACTTACAATTGATGATCCGTTCCATGTGGTGAATTCAGATGACGTTTGTCATTTCCTCCAACAAACTTGTGCTATGGGCCCAGCTTTCTTTATTGACGTAGTAGAACGTTTTTGTTCCCTTCCTCGTGACTCGTTGTTTAGTGCTGTTCGCAAGTGCATTGAAGTAGAAGGGGAGGTGGCCTTTCCAAATGCTGTTGGCATGACGGCTGACAATTCTTTACTTTTACTTGAAGCTTATCTGAAAAGTACTTTCATCCTCATTTGACAACCGGTTATTTTTACAGAAAATGGTAATATGTATAGATTAATGCATGGCGCCTTTACTTTGCGACATGTTCCTGTCTGAATTAGACAAAACACTTGAACATATATAGTCTTTTTGATTTGCACGTTTTTAAAGTATTTATATATACATAGACAATTGTTTAGATATCAGGAATCACGGTTTTACATTGACTACTTCAAATGTTCGTAAGATTTCAGAAGTGTTTGAGCTTCATGATAAAGGCCTGTCCTTTCACGTATGAGCTCCCCGCTGAAAGTACTCATCTGGCGCTATGAGCCCTCTTGGGCACACGCTGAATTGAATTTCGGATCCGCGCAGCTCACAGAGGGCGACTGGAGTTGTCATCTCTGCCGAAGAATACCGCCCTAAAACAGAAGGTGTTCCGATTTTAAGTCTGTTTTGTACGATATTGCAAAACGAGGGAGAGAGAGAGAAAGAAAGCACGGACGACGGCTACGGCGTAAGCAAGAGGAAAGGCAGCTCTTGCTTTTGTATTAATTGCGCTGATCACGAAATCAGCCAATCTACAACTGAGCGTCGATTCCATGACACGATTTTTGAAGATGCTTAAAAAATGATCTTTTTTTAAGTACAACTACATTATCACCTCCTTTCATCTCTAAGGCACAATAAGTTCTCTAATAAAGCTCCAGATGCACACTTATCAACATCACATTAACAACACAACCTCCAGAGCGTCATCTTGGTATTATTAGTTGACATTACATTCTCTTTGTATGGCACTTCTAAGATTAATATTTGTAATTTTCTGAGAGAATTTGAAGAATTAGTCTTAGCATTGTCAAATGCAAATTACCTTTATGAGCCATAACCATGATATGAAGAATGTAATGTTGTGGGTGACTTTTTATTATCAATCACCCCTGATGTCCTTCAGCAAGCACCTAAAACTAAGTAATGTGAGCCTATATCCAATTGCACTACCTTCTGCTCTTCCTCCTCCCCATTCAACAGTAGGAGAGTGTGCTATGCGTACATGAAAACACTGCTGCTAAGGAAAGCTGTTGCTATCTTGATGTGGTGAAACATTTTCCTTATTCATATTCCTTCAACAACCAGCCCTTCGAGTTGTATTCTATTTGAATGTATCGTTTAGACAGTAGCAGACGATACAAAGTAATGGTGACACCGACGCCCAGGCAACAGCTAGAGGGTGCTCCAGATACTGTGAGCATTTGCACAGGCCCTACACAAGAAGTGGGTAGTAAAGATTGGAGTAACAGAATTGTGCAAAATAAAAGTGGAATAAAAAGCAAAAAAAAAACACAACCAAAAATTGGCAAACAACCACTCTGCCCTGGCAATTCAATGTGACAAACTCTCTTAGCTTACAGTACAAAAAAAAAAATAATGCTTACAGCAATTGAAACAATTTCCGTACGACCTAAATCTAGGTTACATGCTGGCTCAATATGTATTGTGAATGAAGTAGTGACTCGACAACATCACATATGTAAAAGCGCCATACATTTACACAAGCTCCTTTGTTCAGTGTGCCTACTATGAGTTATAGTGGAAAGCATATATAAGGCTTATGGCACAATTGAAACACTGTTCCAGCATTTGACAAACTCATCCACAGAATGGAACTGAACAATTTCATTTAACAATGTATTCTATACTTCAATTGCCCATGAAAAAATGAATATTTAAATGTGTCGCATTTTGTCTGATATGGCCCGATGTGTTTACTGTGGACAGATTCAAGTGGAGTCACGGTGTGGTGGCTGGGTATAATCTGGTATGTTTATATCTATGTGGTATTGATAGAGCAGGAAAAGAAACATCATGGCAGTCGCAACACACTGACATGAAAGGGTAAGTATTGCTGCTTGATTATTAAGTTTGGTGTTGACCGTACTTAGAATAAATAAATCTTAAGCTTTATTTTATATACTTTCCAGTTTTTGTAAGAGTTTCCTCTTGTGTAGGTTCCACACAGTGCTACCATACTGAGAATACGCCATACTTACGTTTGATATGCTATTAATTTCCCATGTGATAGAGCTGCAGCTCTGTTTTCTTCGCAAGAGACCTAGTGTTCGGAAGGCTTCTGTGCACATACAGGATACTTTCATTAAATGGAACCCGAAGAGACCAGAAAAATATGTTATATTCAACAGGAGTTCCGTTTACTGTGAAATAAACAGGAGTGCAGCACACAACTATGAAAGCAATCACATGGAAGCTGCTATTCCATTTATGAAGCAGCTCTGCTTCAAATATTTCCGTTTCCTGGGAGTCTACTGTATGTTCTATGCGAGCACTTCATTTCAGGACAGTGGTAGGGGTCACACCTTTACCATTAACCATTCAATGCACAACATGTGGTTCCCATCCACAAAATGTTGCATGTACACTTTCACGTTCTCCGGTCATAGTTGGCACCCAGATTTTCTACGAATGGCTAGGTGGGATAGTAATGCTAGGTGACACTATTAAAACACCAACTAGTGTGAGAGCGAACTTTTTGGTAGAGTGTCATCTCCGATCATACAGATGACCATTAGTAGTACCACTAATTAAAAATAAAGAGGTATGGTGTTTCTGATTATCGTAATCCATAATATTAGGTATTTCCTTTAAACAGCAGTGGCAACAAAAAGAAACCCACTTAATAGGGTGTTGAAGCGAGCTCACTGGTATGCATCCATTTGAATACAGAGCGCTCGATGAGACACATACACAGAGGGCAACAGCAAGGATGGGCGCTGTCCTTTCTTTCTGTGTATGTGTTTCATTAAGTGCTGTGTATTCAATAAAGCCATCTAGCCTTTGTACGCTACTTCAGCTTAACCAATTATAATCCAGGACTGAGTATCCACTTGATCTCATAAGGGTTACCTATGTCTCACTAGATCACTCCTTATCACCTCTTTCCTTTACCGCTAATACTCTGACCATCTTGCACTTACATTACCGAAGAAAGGCCAGTTAATATTTCCATTATCTCTGAACCTATTAAAAGCTTTAAATTTTCTAGTTTCTAGCTTGGTGAACATGTTTGCATTCGATGAAAATGGGCAGAATGGTACATTTTCCAGACTTTTTTCCACAGTGAATACTACCCCCCACCCTTGCATGTGGATATTTTCTCCTATAAGTTTTTGTTCTCAAGCAGCCAGCATGGCCTTTAATAAGCAAGGCACAGCATTTGTGCGCTATGCAATTATGGGTTCATTCATTTCTTGCTTGTGTGGGGCGATTTAGAGAGATAACAATAATATACCGTTTCGATATGAGTGTCTTCGAGAGTAAGGTGCAAGACAGTTTAAGGCCATGCTATTTGGTCCAATTTGTCCCAAGTGGAGTGCATCAGTGAAGCCTGAAGCTCTCTGGGGATAATAATAATAATAAAAAAGCATGATGGCATGAGAAGGTTTGACAGCCTGAGAAACCTGCACACAAAGGCTGTCAGAAAAAATATTCTTGTAGATATGTCCCGTAATTCCAGAAATATTTGAGTTCAAGTGCAGCTTTACTGCAATAAATATTGCATCGCTGCTCAGCCATACCAAAAGGCAGAGTTGTGAGTGGCACTCACTCTACTCTGCTGTTTCACTTTGTGTTATGCAGTATAACCCCTTTATAAAATACACTGATGTAAGCAACATATAGATATAAATGACATCAGCATACCTACATTGAAATAGGAGTTGATAAAAAAATGCAAATGCGGTACTCTGCTCATAACAGACGCCTCGTATAAAGGACAACTGCTGCCCAGTGCATGTCTCTTATGAAGGGTTCAACTGTAGTGTGTATTGTGATTCGGAAAAATTACAGTGACTGCAGGAAAGTAAAACTGCAACAACCGCCGCAGGCACCAGCTACAGTGATGCTTACAGTGCAAAAACAATCGGTGCTGAAAGTTGTGCTGCTGCTTACTTGCTGAAGTTGGAGTATTTTGGAACCGTTTCTAATACAAACGTGTGTCAATATACATAAATGTAGATGCTAATTGTGTGAAATTATTAAGTGAATGTAGAGCTGCTGTAGTTTCAGTGATTTACATTGACTCACACAAAAAACACTACATTTCTAGCATTTTATTAGTACAACAGATTGGTGATTGTCACGATTGTAAAAATAAATAAATCATGGCCAAAATGCTAGAAATGGTGTTTTACACTTGGGATCGCATCACTTCCGTGTCTGCCTAGATTGTTGCAGCGCCTGCACGAGAAACCAGACCAGGGAAAACAAGGCTAGGAATTAGCTCTAATACAGAACAATCACAACAGAAGCATCGCGAGAAAGGAAGCGATCCTTAAAGGGACCGTGAACACATTTCTGAGTAATTGTAGAATGGCTTCACTAAAAGAGCCTGTTGCCTCCTGAAACAGCATAGGCAAAATATGTCCAGAGTACATGAAATATCAGCGGAGTCACTGGAATTTGATGTGTGCTTATGCACTTTCTCTTTATTTTCGTACCACTGAGTGCAGTGAGAGCTACGTAGGGAAAGTGTTGAAGATGTGTCCTATCGTCAGGGCGCGTCGTGACCACATTGAACACTTCCAATTTTTTTCTTCGAATGCGCAGTTTAATTTCAGTGTGATCACGGGCATGCAACAGGATCCCGCGGTGGCTACAGTAAATATGCAGCTCACAATAATCAAATCAGCCAACGTCCGTGAACTTCGGGTATATGGTGCATTATTTTATGCATATGGCATCATTAGTAGAGGAAAAAAAAAGCGATTTCTAGCTGACTCAAAAAATTATTTATGAATTCCAGACTGCGTGCTGCGCTGCAATGATTAGCTCGCGAGTTCTCAAAACCCTCGACTTTCTATCAGCAGTGGTATCAGGTGAAGCAGAAAAAGTATTGCAGGTCCCCTTGAAGAAGCAGGAAGAGAAACTTCTGGAGTGTTTATTTTCGCAAAATGAGGAGGAACTGTTAACATTCCTATCTTGAAGACTTCTCTGAACAACATAGGATAATATGCCTCCTATACGCAGGCACTAAGAATAGTAAACTGGTGACAAATGTTGATAAAATGTTGGTGAATTCCCGGCTGGCCAGTGAAACAGCTGATGACAAGCTGCCATAAGCAACTTGTCACTACAGTCAAACCTCGCTACAACGAAACTGACGGTGCGCGGGAAAAATTTCGTGTAAGTGAGAATTCAGTTGTAGAGAAATCGAAAAAATTTAGCTGAGCTGAGCTAGCAAAACAACAGAACTTTTATTCCGAAAATTTAAAAAGTGTCGGCTGCTTTCTTTAATCTCTCAGTGGGGTCATGACGCAATTGTAACACGTGCGCAGCGACACAATGTATAAAATCACGCCGAAACAACGGCTTTCATGAACGAACCTGACAGTTTCACTAACACACCAACACCAGCAGCTGTCTGCCGTCAACATCCGACAACGCCGTGATGTAGGCGTGGTATCAAGGAGAAGTGACTTATGGCATATTCCATGCTATTCTAATCACCCACTAGTTGCGACTGGCTGATCTTGTTGATAACATGTACGAACAAGTGCTCTGACCAGTGATAGATCTGGTCAAATGCAAAAAGAAGCAAAACAGCATTGGCATCAAAGAAGGCATCTTCTGCAATTGCACCCAACAGGAGCGTGTGTAAAACTCAATGAGCATAGGGACTGAGCTTCAGCTTCGGATTGTCTGCGGCACAGAAGCAAGCTACTTCCGTTAAAGTTTAGCTAAGTGATCATTTATGTTACATGCTACTTCCGAGTTAGCTAAGTGATTATTTTGCATTAATACCATGAAGCAATCCGTGTTTTGACACAATATTAATGAGATCTAACAGACAGTAATGCCAAGGAATGTACAGGGGAAGTTATTAGAGCCCATGAAGCAATCAGTACAAAGAAAATGCACTATTAGAACACAGTTGAGCCCCTTTATAAGAGACACTGATATAAAAGACAAATGGGTATAAGAGACACCAGTGTGCCTACAGTAAAATACGGCGGATAGTTAAATGCATATGAGGTCCTCTGCTTATAAGAGACATCTCATGTACTGCCGATCACGGATATATCGAACTCTAAGGGGATTGCGAAATATTTCGGTATATCGATAATTCCAAATATAAAATATGTCCATTTAAGGGCTACCTTAAAGCGCCCCGAGTAATGAGCCGGTTTCCGAAGACTGTGCTAAGCTTCCACTTGCCGAGTTTCCCAGAATACCAAAAGAAAAACATGAAATACACCGCAACTTATTTGGGCCGAAAAAAGTCTGTGAGCTTGGCTTGCTTCTTTGTCTGAGCTATTAAATTCATGAAATCATCCTCAATATTGTTGAGGCTTTCCACACAGGCAAGCCCAGCGCCTTCCGTAACGCCACAACAGAGGCGAATAAGGCTAAATGCCGACGCAAGCTCGGCAGCAGTAAAGGGTTGCGTAGATGCATCGTCAACATCATCGTCGCTGCTCTTGTTGACCTCATCGGCACCGGCGACGTCGGCCACGACTTCTGTATCGGAGCGGTCCTAAACGGCTTGCACATCATTATCAGCACTGACAAAATCGCTCGCTGTGGCCCCATCAGCGATGGCACCCGAAAACGCAGAAAGCTGGCGAAATTCATCCTCGAGGCACTCTATGTCGTTGTCTGCTGTAACATTGACATCGCTCTCAAAGCCGTCAGGTAAAGCTAGAAGGCCAGCTTTACTGAAGCAGTTCACGATCGTGGCTTGTTTGACGTCATTCCACTCAGTGGTTACCGTTTGTATCGCTCCAAGAAGATCGGTTTTCAGTTCGACCCCAAACCGAAGGTTGATCAGGAGCCTCTGCACCGCACGTTGCATCTGTCTGACCTTAAAAGATTTATTGATACCTTGGTCGAGAGCCTGCAGCCTTGGCATGATGTTGGGAGGCAAAAACTTGACTGTGATGGTTGATCACATGATGTGCTGAATGATTGTCTACCAGAAGACAAACATTGCGGTCCACCTTGTCTAATTGACATTCCATGCACGCATCCATTCGAAAAAGAGGTCCCGCGTCCTCCATGCTTTTTTGTTGAATGCGTATCAGACCGGGAGGCTCTTCGCGTTCTTGATGCATTGCGGCAACTTGCTCTTGCCGATAACGAACGGCCGCTGCTGGCAAGAGCCATCCATGTTCGTCACGAGCAAGATTGAGACGCGCACTTTGCTCATTTTCCCGCCTTACACGAGGTCCCTTTAAGATCCAAAGTTTTGTTCGAGCAACCTGTGCCAGAAGAGCGCCGTTTAGTTGGCGTTGCATATGTCCGATGGCGAGAAGCTGTCTCGAATGTCCGGCCACACTTCGGAGAGCCACTTCTCTATGTCCTGGCTCTTTGACGCGCAGCTTTCGTCAGAGAGGGTTTTCCTAATGATACCATAGCGATTCTTGAAGCCTTGCTGCCAACCGGTGCCACCAGTAAAGTCGTCCACCTCCAAGGCTGCAGCGACCACTTTGCCTTTTGCATTAGCATTGGGTCATCAACGGGAATTTTCGCCCTGATTTTCAAAAACCAGTTGTACAGCAATTTTTCAATTTGTTCATACACAGAAGCACGCAGGCGACAGGCTTACAGAATATATATAAAACAAGGAGCTCTTTAGAAACGAACCTAATTGGCTTTCAACAGGCGTTGTCCACACAGGATGCTATGCTTCTGCTTAAGAGAGCTATATTTGATAACACGACTCGCGACATGAGGGGAATCCTCACACTAGACCTCTCCAAGGCCTTCAACAGGGTGGCGCATAAGCACATCCTCACTGAGACGATTTCCTCTTTTAAACTGGGCCAGCGTTTTCATGACTATACCAAGTCATTTTTCGTGGATCGCAAGGCACATCTCCGGCTAGGCACGGTCTCGGGAGGGCTTTTCAAGCTCTGCAGCTACAGCACCCCGCAGGGTTCCGTGCTCTCCCCCCTCTTATTTATTATCACCATGCACAGGCTCTCTACACACCTCGCTGCAATCCTGAACGTTAGTCACGCCATTTATGCGGACGACATCACGATCTGGACACCGGGCGGCTCTCTGGCTAGCTCGAACACTCCTTACAAAGCGCGTTGGACGCTACAGAAGACTTTCAAACACAGGCCTTGAACTCCCCCCTGAAAATCTGAGCTACTGTTATACCGACCCTCTAGTCAAAGGGTTTCCTAACCTTGCGCCTCTGGAAACTCTGCCAATAGAAACTAGAGCTAAAATAGACAATCCATAGGGAGGACGAATTCCGTGAAAATTCTAGGTCTCCTCATTGATGCCAGAGGCTGTAATTCGAAGGTGCTCAACAGGCTCATGGGGCAGGCAAGCAATGTGCTAAGACTTGCAGCTCACGTTTCAAATCGCAGAAGTGGCCTCAAAGAACAAATTGATTAGAGCTTACCAGTCATTCTTTTTAAGCCATGTTATTTACATCGCGTCGTACCTTAATTGGGCTAAAGCGGAGAAGGCCAAACTTGATTCTCTAATCAGAACAGGCCTCAAGCGCATGCTTGGCCTTCTACAGTCCACAAGCACCGAGAAGCTGTTGGAGCTAGGACTCCACAAACTATTGACGAGCTAATAGAAGCTCACACAGCTGCTCAAATAACGAGACTTTCATCCACTAAGTCAGGAATAAAGCTTTTAGAAGTGGGTATTCAGCCTCGGCATCAACAGGTGACGAAAGTTCGCTTGTCCAGGAAAATCTGCACTCAAATCATGGTTGACCCCATCCCACGTAACATCGACCCTGTGTATAACGAGGGTAGAAGAGTCGAGAGATCCATGGTCATAATTCGAAAGGTTAATCAGCACAAACTAGAAGCTCTCTTGGTCGATGCTGCCAGGTATTACGAAAGGGATAAGTTCGCTATCTTGGTCGTTGACACAGGAGATAACCTGGTCAATGCAGCCTCTGTTGATACAAAAATTGCACATGTGGCAGAGGAACCGGCGATCGCTCTGGCTTTTTACAGCGCAAAAGCCCCCGCAGTTGTGTTCTTGGACTCACGTACGGCAGTTAGATCCTTCTCTAACATCCTTGTGTTTGAACAGGCCAACAGTATTGTGGCGAAAGCACTTCAACAAACCCGGGAGTGCAGCGAAGGAGGGTACCTCACAGCATGGTTTCCAGCCCATCTAGATGGTTCAGTTAACCTACTTGGATGTAACCCTAACAAGCAGGCTCACAAAATAGCGTGCGATTTCACGTGCCGCAATGTCGTGAATAGCCATGCTTGTAACAAGGTCGACATTTACAGAGATCCATAGTCTACTTTTTATGAAATTGTTTCGCACTACCGTCTGACCAGAAGAATATTTCCAGCCCCCCATGCCGATTTGACCTAAGCCTCAGGCGAGCACATTCAGACTACTTTAAACTTGTTCATATCCTACCTCCTCGATCCCTTAACCGGATAGACCCCGATCATTCGCAGTCATGCCCCAAATGTGGCCACGACTCATGTTCTTTTAATCACATGCTGTGGCTGTGCCCAGCCTGTCCACCCATCTCGAAGGAGCAATGGAATGCATCTCTAAATAGCAGCAGCCTTCATACACAACTCCAGGCTGTCCAGAGGGCCCACGACATCGCCACGGAACTTCGACTTCCGGTCCCATCGTGGGCGGAGCCACCGACTTATATGGCGGGAGGCTTATAGCTGTCCCTCAGCACTTAAATAAAGTTCTTGTCATGCCACGTGCTTCGATCTGTTGGCATACTTACAAAAATTGCTTTACCACACTGTTGACAAACAGGTGTACTCCCAAGCGCTGTGCAAACTTATTGAAGCAACGCAATCACATTTCCGATGCGCATGCACACGATAAGGATCTGTAACTCTTGAAACGTGACTGAATAAGTGCTGTGCGAACTTATTGAAGCAACACGATCACATTTTCGATGCGCGCACGAAAAGGGTCCGTAATTTTCTTGGAACGAGACTGAATTGTGATCAGTGTCATGGCTCCGGCGCGGCGCACCATTCGATATATCGAATATGTCGCCGTACAAGTGCTCGATATACGCGCACCTGTGCCCTATACTTTTACATGTGTTTTTCAAGGAAATTTTTTGGCCGTTCGATATAGCCAATAATTCGATATATCCGAGTTCGATATACCTGGTACCGACTGTAAAAGACAAGAATCGCTGCCCAGAGCATGCCTCTTATGAAGGGGTAAAACAATATAATCTACAAATTTTTATTTTTCACATGCAAGCAAGGCAGTTATGAAATGTACTTGAAAGTAGGACAGTCTCATTGTCATCGCTATTGAGCAATGGTAGCCCCCATGCTTAGTAAACAGCTGCGTTTTTGGTGGGTGCCAATGCGTGTTTGATACTTCGTAGATGCATTTTTATGTTCTGAAAATGCATAAAAACGTTCAAAATTGTGTTCACTACATTGCATTCAATGTGCGAGCCTGTAATTGCATCGTCGAATTTCGTTGAAGTGGAATGGCAGAAGAAAAAGGGTTTGTTTTGGCAAGAATATTTAAGCAATGACTCCTATGAACTGCTGACCGGAAACCGAGAATTTTTTCGTTGTAGCGAAAATTTTATTGAAGCAGCATTTGCTGTACCAGGATTTCGCTGCAATATATTTGTATGATCGATTCACTGGTGACCTGGCTCAAAATCTTTAATTGACGGCTACAGCTAAAGCAGCCTTTTTCACTGCAAAGATGCGACTGCAGCAATCCAGTTTGTTATTTCGTAGCTTACGTTCTTTCAACAAAAACTGACACACGTAATCATGACAGTACCTGATAGTAACCAGTATGGTAGCCACTCATGTACCAGGCCATGAGCATTGAGGAAAGTGCCTCACTTTCAGCACTATTGTCCAAGATCAATGGCGGGTGAGCTGGTAGAGGAGGCGTGCCCTGAAAAAGAAGGAAGTGGCGAGAGGGTTGACAAATGATGACACGTCGACCACACGTGTACACACTTCTTCAGTTTATTAGTTATGACCACTGGAAACTTGGAATGATCAGAGCAGACTTGGTTTGAAAAAACACATCCTGTGGAACGCTGACACTGCTATGAGTTTATCTGAACAGGTGTATCGCATCACAGATATGAAGGTACGGCCAAGCGAGTCACACGATAGGACGGAGTTCTCTCTCTTGTAGTTTGGCCAGCTCCGACAACCCTCTTCATTTCACTGATGCACTATACTAGTTCCAAGCATGACAAACCAACTCGCCCAATCATCAACACTGAAGACTCTGAACCAGTTTCTACAATATTGTATAAACGCTTTGAGCTGGTAAAGCAAGCGCGAATAATCATTGGAAGACCAATTTAGGCTCTCTGCATCAACTGCGTAATTTGTTACACCTCTGTTTCTTGTCCATTTTGGCTCTTCCTACTATAGTGCCGTTGTTACTACAATACAACCACGATGAACCAACTCGGCCAAAATTAAGCTCTTGTTATTACAGGACTTCAAATGTATAAATCGCTACGGAGAGCAGTTGCTCAGCTGAAGTTGCTCTCGCACCTTTAGCACGTAAAACTGTTCCAATACACAAGCCACCAGCGACTTATCTGATTGGATATGTCCAGTTAACCAACCAGAACCTCCTATAGGAAGTGAGCGTCGTCTGCCTGTATACTACAATGCGTTCCATGTTGGCGTAAGCCGAGCGACAATGTTTATCTCAAGGTTTCTTTTTTTTGGACACAACGAAGTGCCATAGCTGTGTTGGGTACTACAAAACCATTCATCGGTGGCTTGTAAAGCTGCAACATTGTGTAATGCTTGTGAAGGTGAAATCGCTTCACCGTGCTGCTGCAATAAGTATCGCGCTATCACTATACGGTCGACGCCACTATCCATGCGACTGATGCTGTAACTTCACTCTTGAAGACGCAACCACATTACCAGAGTTTACCATGCTATTAGCTAAGAGCAGACTGATGTTTGAGTCAGTGCTGCTCCTTTCCATGGGATCTTGCCACGGACCGGCATAGCACTCGATAGTTTGCTAAAACAGTAGCCTTACCATCTTGCTTAAAAACTTCAATGGGGAAGAGACATCACATTCCATCATCCCTTAAGGTCATGATGAGTGCTAACTCAAGTCATGACGTGTGCTAACTCGATATCTTTCCCTTATGACATCTCCTCCAATGTAACTTCCAGCTCGCTTGTTGGGATGAGGAAAGAGAGAAAGTGCTTGAAGCTTGTGACAAATTCCTGTAAATCCACTCGTTCTTGACTGATTAGAAATATTGTCACTTCAATTGATTTTTGAGGCAGAAACTCGGACAGTCTTTTATGCATTTGCACAAGACAGCTCGAAACAAAAGCCATCTGCTTTTTTTTTTTTTAACCACTGATTATCCTCCCTACTGCCTCCCCCTCAAAGCTTCCTGCCCCTAACAAGGTTTTGCATTGTTTCCACAATCGGACCTCTGACCAAGGGACAACGTCAAGTGACAATGTTGCCATGTGACGTCGTAAAACGTTACCATATCATAATGACGTCACCGATTCTGGGGACCTGGGACATTATCAAGTGATGATAATTTTTCCGCATTGCTCGTTTTGATGCCAACAGCTACATTTCGTGTTTGATAAGGCATCTAAGTCTTACACCTAAATAAAGTCAGATACCCACATCACTCGATAATTACATTGAAATGTAAGCAGAAAGCGAAGAACTGCTCTGTGCAGTTCGAAGGATACATTTTCTGTTTCTCATCCTCTCGTCTAGTTCACTTCGAAATGAACATGCCAAGAAAGTAGATATAAAAAACATACCCGGGATGAGCTTGAAAATGGCACTCCTAAGTTGGCAGCACCCCAAGGAGGCTCACTGGGAAGCTGAAATACAGGAATTAACCACATAAGCATAATGCCCAAGCATTTATAAGAGACAATGGCTTTAATTTCGGATAAAATAGACGACCGGCTATGCCCTTGACCGGCAGTAAGAATGAGTGAAGTTAGGACATTTCAGTTGTGGCTAGATATGCAATCACGCTGACAAGCACCTGTTAAACCACAGCCATCTCTAATGTTACATGCTAAGGTTAGCTAAGTGATCATTTTGCATTGATACTGTGACGGGGCGAGATCTAGGCTTATAGTATAGCGTCCACAGAGAATCGGCAGCTAAACAAGATGGCCGAGTTGCCTCTCGCGCAAACGTCTAACGCACAAGCGTCTTCGTCATCTTTGCAAAGTGTCATGCTTGCTCCTTTCGATGGTGCACCAAAACAATACCATGAAGGAATTAGTCCAAATAAAACGTATTATTGTAATATAATCTACGAACTTTTATTTTTCACATGCAAGCAAGACAGTTCTGAAATGTACTTCACGCCTCTGATTCAAACAAAAATGAAGTGGACTTTACACAGAAGTATAGAGTCTGAAAGTGCTTTGCTGTTTTTGTTTGAAAGTAATTGGACAACCAGAAAATAATTTGTTGTAACGGTCTTTGCAGGTATAACAATAAGAAAAGAGATACTCATAACATGAAATTTTGTGTGCAGTAAAATGCAGTTCACCTTCAGTTTTTTTTTTTTTTTTGCCATTTTGTATGAATACTTGCTATTGGCTATAAAACACATAGAAAAGCTTCGTAGCATTTCATAAGTCTGAATAGCCAAAACACTCATCAATGCGCTCATCATATGCTCATCGATTACTTCATGGTAAACATTATATTCTGGGAAAGTCGACCTAACACCAATGAACTGTATCCCACATTAAGACATCATAACGCATGTCAAAACAAGCTAAGATTTTGCAAGTTTTCTACGGCGAGCTGGCGATGGTAGAAATAGACAAAAGTTACTACAAACCACAGCCTGTTTAGGAACAACTAAACACAACAGGCCAATAATATAGGACACTGTTACATAAAATTTTACAAATTGTGGAAGCAGCTGCTGACATCGCTGGCAACATTCATTTAAACTTCACCAAGGAAACTGACAAAGAAGCGCATGCAACCTTTTGTATATACTGCTAAAATTAAAACTCTTGCAGTTCAACACTTCACTCATGCTTTAGAAAAAGCAACACATTTTGGATAACCTTGAAGAATTGTGTGCAGTTAGCTTGTTCTCAATATGACACCGACGACAAATTCACTTCACAGCAATTACAGCTGACAAATCCGCATTCCATGATGGCGGTCTGTGCTAGTGATACTGTACAAACAAGTCAGTCCATTTGTATAAGTCACGCTCCTTGTATCTTTCACGACCTAGCTTAGCAACAGTAATGATTGCTGAAATCATCAGTTTTTCATTCATAGCTTATTAAGAGTGATTCGACATGTATTCACCACTGGCTAAGAATATGTTGTCACGTTATGAGTGCAGCCAACTGTCTATTACACGGCACAGCACATACTTCATCTAAATGGTTATGAAGCAAAACTCAGAATTCATAATTACATTGCTGAAACATTCTTTTTTTATCACCTGTTTTAAAATATCTTTTAAAAGGTTAGCTTATCCAGTCAACTGCATGCTATGTTCTAACTGGCAGCTTAGTTGAATTCTAGAAATATTATATTACATCAAGTTTCAGTAGTACTAAATAACAATTGTGCCTGCAAAGGGGTGTCACTGTTTAGAGTGTACAAGAAGTGCATTAGCTACAATAATGCATAACTGCATAAGTATATTTAACATAAAACACGATGCCTCAGCAAATCTGTAAACAAGCTGTCATGATTTTGTTCCAAAATAATTATGTACGTTTGCTAGGCTTCCGCGAGTTATAGTAATACAAGGCAAAGATTAATAGCATGTACATGAAAAAAGCATGATTATCATTCTTGAAAAAACATCTTTTTGTATTATCCATACCTCACACATATTGTTGTCTCTTCCGTACAGTATAAAAAGTTTTTGATAGAGGATAGTGTGCTTACATCAGGAATGCCTGTGCAACGCTGATATGAACCAGAAGTCGCATCGGTTGTGTGGACATTCTGTAATGTGACACAAAACCACAGGAAATTGCATTTTATTTTTGTTACTACTTAAACATAGCCCAACACAGATGAATTCTCGTATGACTGACCAAGCGATTGATCTGATTGGGTGTGTGACAGACATCACATCTGATATTTCCATCCTAAATGTGAGCCACTGTTCCCATGTCCACAAGTACTGACATGTTAATTGTGAACAAACGGAACACTTCATAATTTATCAATAAAATCTAAAAACATCTATCTTCAACTAAGGCAAAAACAAAGGCACTATAAAAGCCTAATTTAGTATGACGCTTGGAAACTTCAGCGGAGAACAGCGAGCGTCATCTGCCTGTGTTGCATTGTACAGCATTTTGACACGATGATTTGATCGATATGTGGGGTTTAATGTCCCAAAACCACCATATCATTATGAGAGACACCAAAGTGGAGGGTTCCAGAAATTTCGACCACCTGGTGTTCTTTGACATGCGCCAAAATCTGAGCACATGGGCCTACAGCATTTTTGCCTTCATCGAAACAGCAGCCGCCGCAGCTGGGATTCGATCCCAAGACCTGCGGGTCAGCAGCCGAGTACCTTAGCCACTACCACCACAGCGAAGCAGCATTTCAACGTGAAATGCACAACCATGGTTGATCTGGTGGCCTACTTTCTCTAACATCAAGAACCGACCTTGCTTCATTGAGTGTGGGACATGTCAAGTTGCAACATCAGCCTGTGAAGGGTGCCTGGCAATCCAAGTGACTGTAGCTAGTTGAAGCAAGAAACATCGGGCTTTCAACATCTGATTTATACCCAGGATTTGTGTGTTTGCGGCCGTTATTTCAATCCAGGCGACTACCTCAACTCATCTGGAAACCTTAAGGCAGGATAACTTGTGTTTTCTTGTACATCTCACTCACCATGCGCCAAGAGTAGTAAATTTGGTTTGTAAAGGCTTAATTTGCAAATACATGAAATACTGTTTCTCCTTTTAGTGTCCCTTTAACGACTTCCTACATGTCATGTCACAATTATGTCCCGATTCAAATCACTGACATTCAAAACCACTTACACTGCCTGCTCGAGCTTGCTGGGCTTGTCGTGCCTTCTTGCCCTCCGATGGGTAGAGGTCTGACAAGAGTACACGCTCCTCGTTGCCATACCCAATGTAGTGAACGATGCAGTGCTTTTTTCTGATGCACTTGATCTTTGCCTCATATGGCAGTTTGTCTCCCGAGTAGACTGCAATGCAGTAATCACCCTGTTTCCATCCCTGTGATATAGTAAAAGACGAAAAAATGGCTCGCAAATCTACAGAAAAGTCACCAAATGTCATTTGAGTAATCTTAGAAATAGCTTTTTCCATGTCATGTTTTCGCAGACCTCGCTTTTGCACTACATGAAATATGTGTGTCATGATACAGGAATCAATTAAATTGAATACATGTGATATTGCCACGGGTAATTAGGCAGGGATACTGTGATAGATGCATTGTGTAAGAAAAATAATTTAAGTGTGGATACTCCACCCCACAGCTGGTCCAGATAATTTTCGGTGGTTTCAGTCTCTCAAAGGCCTCGCGTCACAGCACCTCCCACACAATTGTGGGCGATACAAGTACTGCAGACGATGCGCTGCTTATGTAGCGTCCCAACGGCTTTGCATATGGGAGAACACCACAGAAGCGACTGCAGCGTTGTGGGAGCTACAAGTACTACAGACAACGCGCTGCTTATGTAGCGTCGCAACGGTTTTGCATATGGGAGAACACCACAGAAGCGACTGCAGCCTTTGCCACAAGTGGAGTTTTCCGGTTTCAAAAAATGTGCCATGTGTTTCTAGATTTATTTACTAGCGTTCATGGTGCTTTACAATATTACAAGGAGGAATAGAAAAGGTCAGTATGCGTCTGCCTCATTGTGCTCGGCCCTTCTCGTATACCCTGTCACAGTACCTCTTCACTTCATTGCCATGATAATGCGGCCGGCGCATGTACTAAAGCTGAACATTATCTGGCCGCGCCCCCTGTCGAAGAGGGGCAAAGAGTGTCCACAAGTAAATATTTTTCTTACACTGTTCTCATATGTGAGGTGTGCATGCATGCACACAAACACATACACACACACGAGCGTTTTTAAGTTTGTGGCTGTGTGCGTGTATGTGAAGCGGCCTACCAATGTATGTGCCAGTCTTGGAGCTGTTAAGAGGTTATCCCATGATTACGTCCTGGTATTGCAGATCGTGAAATAACTATGACTGGTAATATGTGACATTTCTGGGATACACAAAAGATATCCCCTTTTGCATCTATACTGCTAGTATTAACCACCAGGCTTAGGGTCAAAATAAAGTTTCACACAAGGCATATCTTTTCCCAAAAGGTAAGAAAAGAGGCATTCTGCAAAGGTTACCAGTACAACAATTGCGATACCTGCCAGCAGAATCAACTTAAAACGAATGAGTGACGTCCCAACCTCAGCGGAACAAAAACCAGAGTGCACAGCTTTCGGATGTTCAAAGCAAGTGTGAAAGAGCCACAATAGGCGTTAGCAACCCGATATGTTTCGCCACAACTAGAGCGTGTCACAGGCTCCTTGAGCTAACTTACAGTCGACGGTTCTTGCCCCGCTGACGAGTTCTCCGACGAAGTACGGTTCCTCCTGTCAATTTCTTTCTGGAAAGAAGATGAGGGACAAGAATATGATACCTGCTGAACGAAGCTACCAAACCTCGCGCACTTACCTTTACTTTTTCGTACGCCTGATCGTAAGCTGCGATCAAGTCGCTGTCATCCCAAATATCCTCGTCAGGGTTCTTTAGATACAACAAGTTTTGAAGAAGAAAAAAACAAGAACTGCAATTGACTCTCTTCGACACCTCGTGCACTGATAAAGCCGCCGAGGCAATACAGACACCGAAGCTAAAGCGTCTCTACCTACCTCTGTTCGTCTCCACAGTACGGTTCCTTTTGCCATTCTTGCAGCTCACTTTATGCCAGAGTTCAAGAAATTTCGGCAAGGTTCCTTTTGGCGTTGCATAAGTGGTTGCCAGACTGGAAGAATGGTTGTTGCGAGACTGCCACTAAATTTGGCTAAAAATGTTTTTTTTGTAGTTGTGGCTTTTTCGTAAGAGTTTATTGCTACCCGCGGTGCATTTTGCGAGTGCATGAGCGACGCTGGCCCTTTTAATTAACGGAATGAACCGAGCCTAGCAGAAGTCAATCACGGCGCTGCCGTGTAATTAAGAGGCCGTTTTAATTCCGTCCAATGAAAGTCCAATCGGCGAATTCCGCTACGTATTGTACGCAGGTAAAAAACGCCCTAGCAGCATTTCTTACAAACGAATGAAACCAAGTACAATCACAGTGGCCTCAGCGTAAAGTTGAACAGATGTTCAACCAACAGCGTCTTCATCGCATGCTCACAGGCACGCTACAGTGTACTGGTAGGTACAGTGTACTAGAGCTAGAGTGTACTAGAGCCCCAATTCAAGTACACTATATGGTAAGTGTGCCATGCGGCACTGGAAAAAGGGTCCCTCTAGCAGTGACCGCTCCACGCGCCACTAGACGGCGCTGGTGGCTAAAGAAGCGCTACGCTCGCTGCCGTGATATCTCTGTGAGCGGCCTGGGTAGCCGATTCGTGTATTGTTCCGAGTTGTCGTCGCGGCTTTTTTATATGATAAATGTCACCTAATGGTGAAATGCAGCCCTTCCGCATAGGTATTAGCCGTTATCTCGACGTAACGAACGTATACAAAAACACCCGACTTCGAGGTCGTGTACACCAGCCGAGCTTGTTTCTTTTTAAGTTCATACATTTTATATAGTAGTAATGAACTTTCAAATGGGTGGATTTCAACGTACCAACTTATAGAGCTTAAATATCTATTTTTTGCATACAAGTGTCTGTGTTCGGTCTTGTGCGTTTCATATCTTTTATATCGTTCTGCATACTAAACGGTCGGGAAGCTTCAATCGAAGGCCTCCAATTCTTTCACCTACTGCTTCTTCAGATAAATGCTCATTTCTTGCTTTCATTTGACGCAACCTAATTTTTGCGCTGCTGAGCTTAGCTTTCGTCCTCGGAAGGTTACGTCGTATATTGCGAAAGCTTTGTTTCGTAAACATCTTCTGACATCGTCTTCTGGGAAGCTGGTTTGGTGGTGGCGCTGGTGTTGCAAAAGCGGGATTAGCCTGGCCTAAAAAGCCGGCAGTTGTTCCGCCTGAGCATCTCTTGAATTGTAGGCGCTAGTCACCAAATGTCACTCAGCTGAGTGTTTCGCAGCAAAGCCATCATGATCCGTTCCACGCTGCTCCTCGTCGCCACGGGTCCTTCAGGAAAAATGACATTTTCTAATGTCCCGTGCTAGTGACAACCTTTCTGCAAGCTGCGTACCATACCTGTTCTTTCTCTGTCAAACTACGGGCTCAGCCAAATGAAGTGTTTCATGTGATCGATGTCACCACAAATAGCACAAAACGGGGAAGCGCCTCGCCCAGTCTTGAATGACCTAGCCAGCGTGTATGTGGAATCAGTTCTTATCCGGTAAAGCAGCGCCACTTGTTCTCTGGACAGTATCAGCAGTATCTGATATTTGCAGTAACAAGCACTGAGGTCATTTACAACAAGCGTGCAGCTCTTCGAAAAGAACACCTTATAAAATGATGGGCATTTGCCAGCTAAAGGTTCCACTCCCACGCCGGGACACAAAGCTAACTTGATCACATAATTTATCACCAACTCTGCCTCTTCTCGAGCTACGAGTTCCTCTCGGCACCACTTCTTTCCTCTACTGAGAACTTTGGCGGTTGCAGCACTTTCAGCAGCTTGCTTCTTAATCTGAATGAGTTTTTTCAACGCTACCTTGCTATGTTCGACAGCGTCAGCTTCCAACTCGGAAATGAGTCCCCAACACACGACAGGAAAATTTCTGACCACTCATTTGGAATGGTGAGCTTTGAAAATGACAGCCCTTGAAATTTTCAGTCACGAGCTTCATCAGCGGCACCGTCTCTGCCAACATGCATTCGACATTCTTTGGCAATCAACGTCGTTCGACTCAACTTCTGACAACGTATTGCTCTCACGTCTTCGCTTCGGTTTGTGGAGAACCTGATCGCTAAGGTTGTGATCCTTCCGTTTTTTCGGCAGCAATTTTGAAAGGTACTCGGGAGCATCAGGTAAAATAGTAGGCATGGCAAATATTGATAAGAGTGGTAGGTCTCTCGGGATCTCAATACCCTTACCGTCGATAGTCGTCTTGAAAGTTCGCTCTATGAACCTTGCTGCGAAGTGTCGCTCACCAACAGCGCTGCTCTCATCGAGGACTCGATGGTGAAATCCCCGTTGGACTGGAAACTTAGCAGGATGAACATGATCTATAAAGGAAAGTGGGACAAAGCTGACATAAGCAACTACCATCCTATAACAGTGACATCAGTGGTCTACAGGCTGGCGATGCAGATTATAAAGGAAAGACTGCAGGCATGGATGGAGGATGAAAGGGTGCTGGGGGCACTGCCGAATGGGTTTCGGAAACACAAGAGGTTGGAAGACAGTCTGTTCTCACCGACGCAGTGCATCGAATATAGCAGAAAAGGAACACAGGCCCCTTGTGGCTATCATTTTTAGATATCAAGTGAGCATACGATAGAGTGGTTGAAGAGAACTTGTGGGGAATACTGGACACACTAGGTGCGGAAGATGAAGTCACTAATCTTTTAAACGATATCTATAAAAGTAACAAGGTAGTTATAAAATGGGAAAAACAGGTATCCAAGCTCACAGAGGTAAAACGGAGGCTTAGGCAGGGGTGTCCTCTGTCACTCTTGTTATTCATGATGTACCTACAAGTATTAGAAGCCAAATTAGAGGGAAGTCGGCTTAGCTTCAACCTCACTTTCGTCAGACAAGGAAAACTTATTGAACAGGCACTACCAGCATTGATGTACGCAGATGACATAGTGCTAATGGCCGACAACAAGTAATATTTGCAGAGATTGATGGAAATCTGCGGTAATGAGGGAGATAGGTTAGATTTCACATTCAGTAAGGAAAAATTAGCAGCCATGACTTTTAATGATAATGAAGGTAAGTGAGCTTAGGATACAGGAGGTCACGCTAGATATAACAGATAAATACAAATATCTAGGCGTATGGATAAGCAAAATGGGACCAAGTAACTAAGAGAACACTAAATATACGTAACGACTAAAGGTATCAGGAATGCAGCAGAGATGAAAAATAGGGCACTGTGGCATTACAATAGGTATAATGTTGTGAGAGGAATATGGAAAGGTGTCATGATTCCTGGTCTGACGTTCGGCAATGCGATCTTGTGCATGATATCAGAAGTTCAAGCAAGATTAGAAATTAAGCAACGTGGAATAGGTAGGCTTGCTTTAGGAACTCACGGGAATACACCAAATCAGGGAGTACAAGGTGAATGGGATTGACATCATTTGAGGGCAGGGAAGCTAGCAGCAAGATAAAATTCGAGAAGCGATGGCGAGAAATGGGGGAAAAGCGTTGGGCTAGGAAGGTTTTCAGCTACTTGTACATGAAGAATGTCGATACAAAATGGAGGAAGCGAACCAGGAAATTGACGGGTAAATACTTAGAAAACACCAGGGGGCCGAACCAAAAAGCACTATTGGTTAAGAAGAAGGTGAAGAAAACGGAGACCGATATGTGGAGAATTGGCATTATTAAGAAGTTCGCACTAGAGATCTATCGAACTTTTAAGCAGGAAATTGCCAAGGAAAAGATCTATGATAATACTCGGAGTAGTTCTCTACTGTTTGAGGCCAAGACGGGAGTATTGCGAACCAAGACATATCGGGCCATATACGAAGGGGTAGACACGGTATGCAGTGCGTGTGGAGAGGAGGAGGAAACTGCCGAATCCTTGATAATGTTCTGTAAGGGCTTCACCCTATAGTTCAGGATGATGGCACAGAGTTTTTCAAAGCGCTGGGGTTTAGGGACAGTGAAGGCAAAGTAAACATTAAGCGGGTAGAATTAACTAGAAGGAGGTTATCTGATTGGTGGCTAAAGTCAAGGCACGAGTGAAAATGAAATCCTTCACTGCAAAGTACCAGCCCTCAACTTCACTATTTAAAGCGAAAAAAAAAGATAAATATAGTTTTTGGTTCACTAAGTATTACGGCTAGGTGGCGCCAGCCGCCGCCCAATCTAAAGGGTACAGCCATATCAATCCATCCACCGATCCACTCGATCACCTCTCTTCACGGAGGAAGAAAAGGTGCCTCTCTTAATGTTCCGCGACCATTCTTCCCGACGGTCAGCTTCAACGGCACGCGAAATAAGGAGTGCGCCTCCTTAAACAAGCGGTAGCCACTGTTACAATTTGGCACAATGCAGAAGCTGTCTCGCTCGTCCCGCCGTCTCCCAGTGTTTTTTTTTTTTCTCGTTCCAGCACACAAGCGCAAACACCAACGTAACCTCTTCGCTCACGTACCGCACAATCTGGCGAGGAGCATAGTTATTCAATGCGAGAAGCACCGGCAACGAGGAACTGGTAACATGCGTTAATAGCACGAACTGACAGTGCACAATGTGTTGGCAGAGGCGCTCCTCTAGAGTGCCTCGATGCGCGTGCCCCCGCTTAGAGTGGTGTCAGCTTTTGCAAGGGCAGATGCCGCCGCCTCGGCTTCGGCGCCAGCGCGACCGCCATTTTGGCGCCTCGGGCCGGTAGTTCGTGCTTGGCGTGTGTTGTTGGGCAGTGTTCATTCCCTTCCAGTTTTATGCACCCATCTCCGCATCACCATGCCCGGCTGCTGCGTGCCGCAGTGCTCGAATCACTCGAGAAACGGATGGAAGTTGTACCGGTTTCCAAGAGACCCAAAAAGAAGGCTTCTTTGGACCGTTAAAATCAAACGAGACAAGTGGCAACCGACTAATACGTCGCACGTATGCAGCGTAAGTAAACATTTTTTTTTAGTGCGTCGTATTCTGACTGGTCAGCATTATTTAGGGCGCCGTTGTTTTTTATTTAGGTGCGCAATGTAAACGCAGGACAGCCAAACGTCGTGCAG